ATCCAAACGACGGCCAAAAGGAAAATATTTTAATTATGGTTTGAACCCCTTTGAAGCCTTTGAAGATAACTTTGGAACCTATCTGAGACTCCCTCTTTTAGGAACATGATCATAACCTAGAACTCAAAGTAATCCATTCCTATCTCTCTATTTGCAAACAAAATCGCCGCCAAATTCTTGACCTGATCTGTAAACATGCCTGATTTGATAAACTTCAAATAAAACTTGATTCAATTCAATACAACCTCATGATAAAAACAACATATATTTTTTTTGGTTTTCTGGATAATGGTTGATGGACGGATGTACAGATGCAAATTATATACAGGGTAGGACAAATTTGGGGTATGACAGATACACCGACTCCAATTTTACCGATTGCAAATCAAATAGAAAGAGCACTAGTGGAACTTGCCACATGTTTTCAAATGCTTTAGTAAGTTGGCATAGCAAGAAACAAGTTTTTTTTTGCTTTGTCAAACGCCGAGGCGGAATATGTTGTGGACGGTAGTTGTTGTGGCTTAAGCAATAATTACTTGATTTTGATATAAACTTGCAATGTATTCTCATTATGTGTGACAACACTAGCGTTATCTATCTAAATAAGAATCTGGTGCTACAATCCCGCACTAATCATATTGAGATTCGTCACTATTTCCTACATGACCATGTTGAAAAATGTGATGTCGTATTTGAGCATGTTGATAGCAAACATCAACTTGCCGATATTTTCACAAAACCACTTGTGATCGAACCATTTTTAAACATACGAAGGGAATTGGGGATACTCGATATGTCTAATCTTTCCTAGCATATGATTTGTTGCATGCACTTTATATACTTTTTCTCTAACTTTCATTTGAAGTTTCATCATATGAGAGCGCATTATCCATCAATCTATATGAGAGGTAATATTGTTCTTTTTCTTTCTCTTGCTTAGTAAGTCTTTTAAATTTACTTGTTGCTAATGCTCCAAAATAACTAATATTCTTGATGTATGAAGTAGTTCATCAATATTCACTTCCAAAAATATTTATTGATTTGTGTCAATTATATGTTTATAGTGATATTGTGTTATTCCTTCTATATGCTTGAAATACACTCTTGGTGCATTTGGCTTCTTATGTATTCTTGCATGAACCATGGTTGAACATGTTATGGTGTTAAATGAATTCTCGTTGTGTGTCATTGTTATGATAACATCTCTGTTTTTTGTTTGAGTGGTGATAACTTCGTGTATTGCCTTGCTAGAGCACATGCATGTGTAGCATTTCATGAACACCCAAAGTATATGCCACGTAATCGTGTCACGTTTGTTGCAATTCTGGAGTTCGTGATTGCATTGTATCATTCATTGTTCATGTTCTTGTTATGTTATTTGGCATTATATGTAGAAATTATGTTCTATTGTTACTTTATTTGCTTGTATTTATGTTTCGACATTCTTAGTCAGAGTGTATATCGTTCTATGTGAGTGTTATCGTGTTGATCGTCTTCTCTTTGCAAATTGTATATGTGTAATATTTTGATTTATATGTGGTTAATGATACTTCTAATAGTTTGCTTGTTCTATTTTTGATGTTGTCGAAGGGTGGGAATTTTACACAAGTTGAAGCCGGATGCACATATTCAGAGGGAGTCTTCAAAAAGACAACAACGTCGTGAAACACATCGTCTCATATTTTGTCATCATCAAAAGGGAGAGTATGTGAGTGATTTTGGATTTTGAGTGATATCAAAACTAGGATAGTGTAGCGTTATGTATATTGGACGGTATCCTCCCATTCTAGATGAGTATCTTAGTATTAGGAAGCATTCAAATGAGTTGGAAAAGGAACTTACATCATAAATGCATCGAAAAACATGTTTTTGGGTGGTCAAGTCATTTCTGGTCGACACATGCGTAAGTAGGTTGACATATACAAGTTTCAAATTCAGTATAGGATGACACATATAATCTTAGGTCGGCTCTCATGGATCAACATTAAAGCCTGTAGTCACTTTCCATAGGCCATCTCACATAGGCCGACATATGGGCAATATCCCATCTCAAAATTTGTATTTTTGCTCCATCAAATTGCATTCCTTTTGCTCATCATTTCTCATACCTATATATAATCACACATACATCTTTTTCTAGCAAGGTACTAGTATAAAACCTAAACGAAACCAGAATTACAAAGTTTTCTCATCATCTTCAACCTTTCCTCTATGCATACACGCAATCAAACTATACATAATTATTTTTTGATTGGGTGATCATCTAGATTAGTATTGATAACGTCCAATTAGGTTGATGCAACCGAGAATATTGGGTTGGAATCTTTGTGTGTTTCAAATAAGAAAACCATGTCGGGTTTTCCTTCAAGATCATTGGAATTTGAAGGTTTTGGACAAGATTACGCTAACACGGATTCGGCCGAGTGAAGGATTTGGGACAAGGTGGTTTCCTTGTAAGGAAGTAGCGTGAGACGGTGAATCATGTTCAAGAATCTTGGGTTCAACAAGTGCGTGCTAGGGATTAATCCTACCGAGCGAAAACCTTGAAAACGATGAGGTCTTGCAAGCAAGTAGTCAAGAACATGTGGATTGTAGCATCGTTGTTGGTGACTTGATCAAACTTTGATTAAGGGTTTAGAGGTGGAAGAATCAACAACAAACCATAGGGTTTGTTGGACTAGAGTTCTTCATCTCTTGTATAAATATTTTTGCAAAGATAAGGTTAATTGCAAGTATCTCAATTTGATTTCAGGTTGAGGGTAGACGTACCCATAGTGATGCCGATTGGGGAACTGCCTAAACAAATCTCTGTGTCTCTTTCTTTCTCCATCTCTTTAATTGTTGTTCTTGCAAATTATTGAGTTCGTTGTTGTTTCAATTATTCGATTAGACTTTGTTTTTCAACTATCTTTTAAAGTGTTGTTGTTGATATAACCATAATCATTTTGATTGTGATTGACTTTTAACATCAATAAAATAAATTGAATTTCCAAACGTTATCGATCGCAGACATAGTGTTTGATAAATTACCTTTCAGTATTTTTATTGATTTGTGTACATTAGAAATAAGTTTTACGTATAACTTTGCATTTGATTGATTCGTGAATTAATCGTTGTTGAACAATTTGTCTTCACTGTCATTCCATAGATTTACATTACGCATATATGAGCTTTTTGATAATACATTCAGTTAGACGATTCGATTCGGGTTGTTTCCGTTGTGCCATAAATTTTTAAAAATTATTTTTTGACAAAAATTCTATTTTTAAATTTGTGATCTATGCACCCCTCTAGATCGAAACATATAGTCTAACACAAAGTTTAAACAACATAGAACCAACGTACGCAATACAAATCAACAATAGAATTGAAACAGCAAGCAAAACTCAAAATTGCAACATGATCTCGGACCGAAATGTTACCGAATGAGTATGCTTAATGGAGAGGACCCAGCGGTGTTGTTTCGGAATGAAACAAGGAAAAAGTGGGAAGGTTGTTTGATGGTTGTTAAAAATGGAAGGAAAAAGGCTATGGGTTGAGGGTTTTTTTGTGAGTTGGTGATTGAGGAAGACGATGGAATGTGTTGAGCAATGAAGGTGAAAACCAACTTTCTAAGCTTTTCTTTTCAATGAGCAATTCAACATTTTTTCTTCTCACTCTCAAAACCTCTTTCCTCTTTTGAAAAAATATAATTTTAGAAATCAACAACCTCCTTCACTCTTAGCGTCGCGTGGAGCTCGATTGAATCCCTTGTTCCTAATTTCTCAACATCTTATATACCTCTTAAGTAGGATTTATATTATTTGATAATTTCACAAATACCCCTCCTAAGGCTTTTTAGTGTGAAAATGAGTTAAAACTAATTAATCTAAATAAAATCAAAGACTTTCAAATAATCGAAATAAAATCGAAATGAAAACATCGATAATTCTATTTACTTTTCTAAACGTGTTGACAAAAATATAAAAATAAAAGGAAGTAAAATTAACAAAATTTGAGCAAAAAAGTGTTTGAAAAAATAAAATGAATGCACTAAAATTATCAATACAAAATAAACTTCTAGAAAAAAGACAGCAAAATATCGAATTTCACAAAAAAAACACTCAATTAAAAAGACTCAGACTAATCAAAATGCGACCGCAAAAAGAGTTGAAAAAATAAAATAAACATGTCATGTTAAATTACGCTTAATCGTAAATTAATAAAACTGACGTCTACAAACTCGATCTCAAAATTTTTTGTCCACTAATTTTACGCACATTTGAAATCATTATCAATCTGTATGTAGAATCGAAAATTTATTATGATCGACATTTTAAACATTATGCAAAAAGAAATGCATGTTATGATATACAGATAATACAAATGTCATGGTATATGTATCGGTTGATTATTGAGGAGCAAAATTGAGGCGTGACACCCGTCCCTATAGGAGATAATTCTCAATCTTTGGGGCCTTAAACCAGTCAATCCTTGCCAGAATCCCCACTATTAGATGCAAGTTGACATCCTTATTCATCACAAAAATGTCCTTGATCGATGAGAAATGTTCACCACTAAAATGTCCATGATTAATGAGAACTGTTCGTCACTAAAATGTCTATGTTAAAATTAAAATAAAGTAAATCTATTTAATTCTTAAAGAATGATGTACTTAACATTAAGTGTAATTCATGCTTCTCTCAAAGGAATGTAGTCTATCCTATATTTTAAATGAAAGAGTCAACTCTTAATTTGATACAACAAATTCTATCATACTTTTTTTACAAGCATCAGCTGATCCTAAGTCAAACTTTACCCTCAATAAATGAATATTACCAAATTACAAAATATTCATCCTACTTGAATAACTAATGCACAAGACAAGCTCAAGAGCTATATCATTTGTCAGTTAAGTTAATCTTTTATGGCACAATACATGAGAAAATCTAAGCTTTTTCATCACTTTATGCTTTTTCCTTAAATGTCTCCTTTTCTCATTGTACAACATCGGTGTTCCATCATTCACGATCCATTGATTTATGTGAGAAATGGTGACCACCCTCGTCTGTATAAACAATAAGATCATCAAGAAAGGTAGGTTATATACACAGAATCAAGTTAGGTACTAATTGCCTATATTGAATGTATCGAACATTTGTCAGATAATACTGTAAAAGTGCAATTAGATATGAAAAATGAGAAGTACCACTTTCACCATCAGAAAGATCTGCAAGTCTTGCAATTGCATCTATAAGAGCTTGCTCGTGATTCTGCATTTAATTCATTACATTGGTTATTTTCACATACATATAAACCATTTGCAAGAAAATAAGAAAATTCAACAGTTATCAGTAAAAGAATGGCAGACAGGCGTAAAAGATTGCCCCGTACCTTCAATAGTTTCTTGGCTCTCTCAATTTCGTGTGCATCAGGATGATTTGCACTGAACACCCTTTCCACCTGTCAAGTTCTCCAGAAACTTAAATACTTTCCATGAAAAGATAAAACAGTATCAATTGAAGAGTATTCGAGTTCAATTGTTTTCAATTACCTCTTTAACTAGTGTGTCTGTGTGACGTAATTGTATATCTTCCAATGCCTTCTTTCCGATTCCATTCTGTGATGGCAACAAATCTTTTTTGGATTGCCCCTTTGTACCTCCCCTACCTCCTCTTCCAGCTCCTGGAATACTATCACGACCTACTGATCTATTCATCCCACGACCAGATCCGCCAAAACCCCCGCGGTTGATCCCAGGATCCTCACCTACCCACTGAATATCTTCGGGAGAGATCTGCAGTTACAATATTGTATCAAATTAGGTACTGGCAAGTGCTAAACATATCAAGCAAATAAAAATCCAAATTCTAAATATTATTGAACATTCAAGGTATACAGGAAAAGAGGTGCTTCAATTTTATGAAAATTAGATAAGCACCACAGTTCAGGGATAATGAAAGTTGAAATAAAGCCAAAGCTTTATTTATTTTTATTAAACATTCTTATAAATCCTATAACTTTTTCCTAGATTTTAACAGAGAACCAGATGCTTATGGGATCCAAACTCGTTCCCAATTGAACCATTGCACATTAGAATCCTAACTCTCAATTTAAAGATGGAAGTGAAAGCTTACCAAAATAGTTCAAGAAACATACTAGAGAAAATACAAACTTTTCACATAATTACAGGATATGATACATTAAAACATTTTTAGAACTCTAGTCAAAGACTTTAAATTACTAAATAAGACAATAAAAGACTTTAGAAGTTAAATAATTTGCGGTAGAACCAACACAGGAATTTACTGAAACTGACTGAATTGCACTGATAACAAGGTCAGAAGACAAAATCCTTTTTAAAAAGGAATGAACATTAACAAATCAGCAATGGTTGGAGGAAAGAACTTCTTGAAGAAATGAGATGACACAGAAAATGATTCTCAAGTACGAGAGCATCTCCTTAATGAGATAGGAATCGTTCCACTACATAGTCCCTAATTTCCCACTTCACACATATTATGCCCTTTAGCTCCCCCTTTCAACTCCCTTTATCTCATTACAAAATCAGTCCCAGATCTCCAATTGCCAGCTGTCCATACATTCTGATATATTGCAACCCATTGCAAGTGACATTTGCAATATTCCCCAACCTATCCGCCTAACATCCGCAGGTCTAACAATTTGTTTTTAAAAACATGAGATATTCATAATAGTTAAATCTTATTTCATTAATAAAATGAACTTTTTGTTGCCAAGTATATCGCAAATCACTTGTAGGGCTCATCTCATGAGAAGACTAGAAACCTTTCTCAACACTGTCAGCAGGTTGTTGGGCTAGTAAAGGGGAATTAAAGTAGTTGGGAATAGGGATTAGTTTCGGATTTGAGAGTTGGTATGTAGTTGGACTAGAAACCTTTTGGGGAAATTACTCCATTTTTATTACAGCTTCCAATAACACACTTCTGTTTATTTATTCTTCCTATCTTTCTTTCATTTCAAATTCTCTAGGTTTGGAACAATGGGAAAAGGCTGAAGTTTAGGGAGTCGGTGTAGAAATCACAACAAAAATGATTACATGACATTAATCCGTGTCAGATATACCTCTGAAAGATTAACCCATTCCCATGTTTCATTTGTACTCCCCATGTCATAGACCAGATGGTGTCGACGCTGAAAAGTTAAAGTAAAAGTAAGTATGTCAGCTATAAATTAACTGACAAGGAAATCTTAAACTAATTAGGTGGCTGCAAGTACTTCTACTGGATTGTAGTCGGTGATAACAGCTTCATAGAAATTATTGTCATCGGGCCATCTTGTCCGTAATCTCCTACCATTGAGTGAATCAAATGATGTTCCCTCAGCAAGCTCACCTGCGACCGTACCAGAAGTAACTCTATTAGGTACTTGATTCCTGCCTCCTGGTCCTGATGAAGGGTATTGCTTTATAGAAGATGCTCCTGGTAATACTTGGCCCTGCAGATAAAAGAACCAAAATAAACACAACAATGCTGCTGATGTAGGTCTGCATAGTGGCAAGTAATTTTTGAAGCAGCTATGTAACAAGATGTTCCTTACAGGTTTCTGCTTCTTGCCCTTGTGTCCCGGAACAGAACCGCGTTTTCCAACAGAAGAAGATGGCTGGTGGGGTGCAGCCACTGGTTGGGGGTGAAATGAAGGAGAAGGCCCACCAAAAGATTGTGATGGTACAGACGATGTTATCTTCTGCTTTTTACGAGATGCAGAGACTGTTGGACTTGGAGCTGAATCATGAATAACTTGTCCAGAATTCAGCACACCAGTTTGATGGCCTCCTGTCTGTCTCCACTCCCTTAAATCAACATCCAACAAAGTGTTGATTAACTAGATAATGATGTATGCAAATAGTAATGAAAATCTCACTTCTAAAGCATAGGTCAACAAGAAACCATGTTCTTCAATTTTATCATACCTTATCCTTCGTATGACATCATCTGCATTAACACGGCCTAGAAGTTCTCTGTGTTCCTCATTTGATAATCTTAGTTCTTTCCTTAGTTCTGTTATCAAACTTTCCTTCTCCTGAAAAAAATATACGTCATTTAAACCTAATCAAACAAATTCAAAAAAACAAAAAAAAATAGACAAGTAAAAAGAAATTAAGAAAATGTACCCAAGTAATGGCATCAGCTTGAGCTTTGAAGGCTCGTAAAACTGAACTATACGCTTCTTGCTCAAGTTGGTGAATTTGAGTTTCCATGTCAATTTCACCATACATCCTGGGGTATGACATTGAACCTACTGCAGATCTTCCGTTCCCAGCAACACGTGCCCCTCTAGGAATTCTATTTTGATGTGTTGGCGGAAGATCATCATCAGTTCCTGCAATCATTATTACATCAAGTGAATGAAAATAAGTAAAATAATAAGTGCGACCTGACCACATATCCTTGAAACACATCAACCAGACTTCACATAGTGCACCAGGTATTGCAAACAAGTGCGACCTGACCACAAATCCTTGAAACACATCAACCAGATTTCACATAGTGCACCAGGTATTGCAATTGCATACGATACGTGCATTCACATAGTGGTTCAATCAAGTACATAGAACTAGAAAAACAACTTTATATATAGTTCAGATTTCGCTTTTACAGTACAGAACCGGTTAGATTCAGTTATTACTAGAACAACATTTTCTAAACAAAACAGAACTGCACCCTCCCTAGTTATCTTAAATTCCATTGAATAAAAAAACACACCACTAACAAGTAAAGTCAAACTTTGAAAACAAGACATTACTAATTACTAATTACAAAACAGATTCCTCAAACATAGCACGAAACCGCGAAATTTTGATGCTAATTGAAATTCTCACCCTAATCAAATCATCAACAAAAAAGAGAAACAATCAAAACAAACCCTAACCCTATAATCAACAAAGATACCCACAAAAGAAAGGGTCAAAATTTCGGAATAATGAAACAGGAAAGTAAGGAAGTTAAGGTTGAAGCTCACCGCTACTATCGTAGGGTTCGTAATCCATAGCCAGATTTCACGGGAATAGAAGTACCAGATCCAAAGGAAAAGCACAAAAATACAGTTTTCCACCGAAATTGAAAACGAATGAGGAACGAGAAGTGTAGAATGAGAATGGAACAGAAGAGGAACAATGATTGAGGTTTTGCTGCAGGAATCGAAGATTGTAGGTCTGTGAAGAGTTGAGTTTCGATTTGTCGTGGCCGACTCGGGCACTGAGTTATGGGTACGAGTCGAGGTTTTTTTCCTTATTTTAAATTTAAATTTTTCATGTAAATATGTTTTCTATTTTATTTTGTGAAAATAAAACCAAAAACAAATAAGGCTTAATTTCAATATTGGTTTCCATTTTTTCACTTTTTCTAAATTTTGATCTCCGATTTTAAAACTTAGAATTTTTGTTTTTTTATTTTTAATTTTTTTGAATTTTGACCTTCTTATTAAAAAATTTAAAATTTTTGTCTCTCTATTTTTTATTTTTTTATTTTTGTTTTTTTAGATTTTTTATCTTTCTATTAAATTAGTTTCAAATTGAAAAAAAAAACTAAAATTCAAAATAAAACTTAAAATAGGAGATCAAAATTAAACAAAAATAAAAATAGAGAGACAAAAATTCTGAATTTTAAAATAAGAAAATCAAAACTAAAAAAAACTAAAAATAGAAGGACAAAAATTCCAAATTTTAAAATAGGGAAATTAAAACTCAAAAAAGAAAAACATAGGGACCAAAAGTGCAATTAAATCAACAAATAATAATATATTTTTGTTTTATTATACATCATTTTATTCTAAATTATAATTTTATAAGATCTTTATAAATGTAATCAGAGTTTGGATGAGAAAATGTAAAATTTTAAACAATTTAAATGATTTAATTGAAATTCATTCATTTTTTAACTCTTTTGTTTGTTTGAAATATTAAAATGATTCATTGTTATATTTTGAAGTTGTTTTCATAAATTTTAAAAATTTTAGATTAAATTTCAAAAATAAAAATAAGGATCAGTTTGCAATTTTTAGAAAAGTTCAAGGGACCAATTTGTAAAATTTTAGGGACCTATTTGTAATTTTTGGAGGTGAATTTGAAATTTTAATAAAATATGAGGACCATCTTACAAAATTTGAAAAATTTGCAACACACAACATAACATTTGCATTAGATAGAATGATGAAGCAATTTTAAATGATTCAATTGAAATTCATTCATTTTTAAATTCTTTTGTTTGAATGGAGTATTAAAATGATTCTTTAAATTTTTTGGGTCATTTTCATAAATTTTAAAACTTTTAAACCAAAATTAAAATATGAAAAAAAGAAGAGACTAATTTGTAATTGTTGAAATTTTAAAGGGACTAATTTGTAAAATTTGAAAAAATTTAGGGATTTATTTGCAATTTTTAAAATAATTTAAGGATGAATTTGAAATTTTCTTAAAATATGAGGATCATTTTACAAATTTTGAAAAATTAATAATAAATAATTTAAAAGTTGCATGATAAAAAGTGAAGGAATAATTTCAAATTTCTTACTTTTGTCATTTGAAATTTCTTAAATTTAACTTGAATAAAATAATTCATAAATTTACATAATTTTAACAATTTTCTATATTTTTTTTTCAAAACAAGAAATTTTGGTCAAGTTATTTTAAATTCCCTCAAAAAATCACTTTCTTTCGTTAAAATATTTTATCCAAACACACTTTTGTGATATGTTTGGATTGATGGAGTATGACGGAATAAAATGGAATGAAATGATAAATAATTGAGATTATATTGTTTGAATTTATAAATAATAGATGAAATAGAATCCAACATGATGAAATTCATTCCATCTAATCTCCCATTTTTTTGTTCCATTGAATTTGAGGGGTAAGCAATGGAATGAAATATTTTTAATAAATAGTCAAACAATAGAGTAGGATATATATTTTATTCCGCATCACTTTATTCCATTTCGTTATGTTTCATTTCACTTTGTTCCTGTTATGTGTCGATCCTTAAGATAATTAAAAGTTGATTTTAATACAAGATGTCTCTGGTACATTTTGAATAGGTTTTGAAATAAAACATTATTAATTTCAAAATAAAATAAAATTTATATTATTAATTAAAAATAAAATCAAATTTAAATTTAAATTGTTTTATTTTAAATTGTTTTTTGAATATTTAAATTAATAAAGTGTATAGGTGAAGTTTCATTTAAGTTAATGAGGGGTGGCATGGTGAGTTTGCATCAATATATATATATAGGATGATTTAGAAAATTTATAAACCATATTAAATTTTCATCCTCTTTAAATACTTGGAATGAAGAGGAGAATGGAAATTGAGCTTGTATGCAAGCATCTCTTGTTTGCATGTAATGTTATTCTCCATTATTATTGTCAATTCTGAAAGCAAACAATAATTCAAAAATGCAAGGAGAAGTTCAAAATTCATTGCTTATGGATGGAAATCACGAGGTCACATAAACAAGAGGAAAATATTAAACTATTATGTCAAGACCATGTGTGTGATTCATGAAGCACCATCTCCCTCTTGCAAGTGTAGGAGAAGAAATTTGAAGTTTGATTTTTGGTCCATGAAACTCTTCATTTTACCTTGAATTCAAAAGTAAGGTCTAAGTTGATTTTCTTAAGCTTTGATCTTTATCGGGTTTAGAGATCTTTATTAGGTTTAGATAGTATTATCATGTCGTGCATTGTATTAGAGTAATATTTATTAGCTTAAGAAATTGTATGGTTTAACCTATAATGATGAACATGATTATCACTAACTTAAACCCTAAGTTAGATAATTTAGACCTTGTTCAATGATTTTTTTTTTTGCTATATTTGTAATCGTTCAAAGTGTTGAGGATTAACATATGATTAATCGAGGAAGTTGGATTATGTTTAGGGATAATTTAGAGTTGAGATAATAAAAAAATTTAGAAAAATCACCAGAGAAACAATGGTACTGGATGCCATTATTAAAACTCTTTATAGGATTTAACCTAGTCGTGATAGTTTAGCATGCACTTCCTAGAACAATTGTTAGTATTCTGATAGGTCAGAAGAAATAATGACATTGAATGTTGATGATGGTTCATCATATGATGTTGTTAACATTAATAATTCTAAATATTTGTGGAAAAGATCAAACCAAGTCGAAATTATCCTAACCAAAAAAATTTCATAGCATTTTACTATGAAATTTACGATGACAAAGAAAGGAGAAGACTAGCACACGAGGAACGAAAGAAAAACTGCAAAATATAGTCAATAATTGTGCACCACTCTCCCAAAAAGGCGATGTTGAAGCTTAAATAATCATAATGACATTGCTCATCCAGAGCAACACTTTTTTAAGAATCTCCCGAGCAAAATAGTGATGTTTTGCAATATAGAGTGATGCGATTTATACCATATTTCCAAGTTAACAAATCACAAAATCTCCCCGTGATTTAAGTAAATAGCAACATGTTTGTATGATTCAGGTTTACCTATGTGTATTACTTTGATCAAATATAGAGTTTTGAAACATCGATTGAGGTGAAATCAGTGAAAACCGAAAGCTAACTTTCAGTGGTACGACTTTCCAAGAGAAGTCCAAGTCTAATTAGGAATGTAAAATGACGGAAAATAAGAAGTTGAATGGCAAAAATCGGTCTTTTATCTCAACCCTAAATGCCTATTATATTGCCTATTTAGTGATAATTAAGGTAAGGGTTTCACTTGTCCAAGATTTTACACAATTTTGCTATCAGGTTCTGATTTTTGAAGAGACAAGGGCATATTTTGGAGCTAAGGAAAATGGGAAACAAAGGCTATCATTCAGACATCATCCCTAATCATTATTAACACTACTACAAAATACGAAAACAACAACGCCAGGTTTACAATGGATTCATATACACCGTTATAATAGGTTAAAATTTTTGTGCCATAGATTTATAAACAGTAATTTAATGACGGTTGTCTTAAAAAACCATAGTAATAAATGATGTGTAGAAAGCTTCGATTCCTAGAAACTATATTTTTTCCATTTTTTATAGTACATTAAGCGTGTGTCACTTAAGTCCATTATTTAAAAAATAAATTATAAATGATTTTACAACGGTGAAGTAAACCAACCGTTGTAAAATTTGAAAGTTATTTAACCACGGTTTTACAATACAACCGTTGTAAAATTTGAAAATTGCATCACGGTCTTTCTTTCTAGCCGTGATGAAAAGTGATATTTTTTAGTATATAAGCGAAAATATCTATAGTTCAGTACATAACAGTCGTTTCTCTCGAAAAATAAAACCCTAACATAGCTGTTTCACTCTTCTCTCTCATAACATAACCCTAACATCCATGTCACCTTTTAAACGTACTTCAATTTTTAGATACGTCTTTAGATTCGTCTTCACCAATCGCTAACTTGAAGATCGTTCATTAAACTTATGCTTTGATTTCGTTTACGTTTTTTGTTAAAAATGGATTCTCATTTTTTCATTTGGCGAATGTTCTCTTTTTCCATATTCGTCTTCACCACCTTAACAAGTGAAATACATATGGTTTGCATAGTGATCTTACCGGTTGATCAGAACCTGAGATGAGCCAAAGACAATCGTCTATGATGCTGGGTGCGAAAGAGGAGAAAGAGGTGTACATACAAGGCACTCCGATGCTAAAGTAAGAAAACGAGCAAGAGAGAGAGCAAGTACAGAATATGAGTATTTCAGAGTGAATATTTGATACCTGACCCTCTCAAGTGAGGGGGTTTTTATAATGCCCCCAGCGCTTGGCCATTGGTCCCTATTTTCGGGACGAGATAACCGTTTCCTGAAGAATATGTAACTGCCAGAACTAGTCGTTGGAATGGATAGATGTGTCCATAACTAGTTGTTGCTACGGGCAGGGGCGTAATTACGGGCACAGGCGTCTTGGTTGTTTCTGGATGGTGGAACCGTGCATGATGGACAGCCTTCCCTGTTGGGGGGGCATAAAGGTAAATTCTCCCTCCAAGTGGTTGGACTTAG